AAAGGAGATAGAGAAAAGGAACGGCGATCATAGGCTGAAGAACCGGTGTGGAGCTGGGGTGTTACCATATGAGCTGCTTGCACCTAGCTCAGAGCCTGGGGTGACAGGCAGGGGAGTTCCAAACAGCGTTTCAATATGATCCAAATTTTGATTAATCATAATTTTACTTAAAAAAATATTGGTATAATTAATTATTTTAAAGCTAGGGGTATATAAAATGGATCATGTAAGCATATTTCTTGTATCATATAACATTATCATTATGTAATTGGATTATGGTTCAAGTTAAAAATGATAGTTTGATTCCAAATAAAAAAAGGGTAAACTACAAGGCTGACTACTCAACCATGGTCAAAAATCATTTTGACTACCAATTTAATCAAACATACCATCCAACTATTTAAATGGTTAAATCAAGTCACATTCCGTTAAAATTTAATGGAGTTAATGGCGTGTCACTTAAACATTTTGGAATAATTATATATTTGGTTGTCCCTTGTTCCCATATGTAATGGGGTAAGGGGGAGGTAAGATAGTAAGCTGCCCCCAACACCAGGTTGAGAGTAGTTTCCGTAGAAGAACTCCGAATTATGAAATGTAATTATATATTTGATCCCTGTTATTTACACAAAATGATTATTTAATCCTAATTTTAATTAAATACAATAAATTTAATCATTTAATTAAATTGTGACACGCGTCGGTCTATAATTGGATGATTAGATTTATTTATAATTTTTTTAATTCATTAAATTAATTTTCTTCCAATCAGTGATACGCTATTTTGTAAGAAAACAAATTGAAGAAACTCGACGCAGAAGGAATTCGAAGGAGTCTTGAAAATCAGGCCGACAAGCGACCGTTGAGCCAAGCGTATTGGCTTGATTATGTTTTACAACAAAACATGTATCTGTTGTATAGTTATTGTGTTTAAATAATATACTTAAAAATATATTTTATTTTAAAGTAATAATATATTTTTTCGGTTAAGCAGTAATAATATATTTTAACTTAAAAAATATTTTATTCTTTTATTAATTTGAATATTTATTAATAACAAAATATATTTTTAAATCTTTTATATATATATATATATATATTCAATTAAGCAGTTATAATATATTTTAGCTTAAATATTATATTATTTTATTAAATTGAATATATATTAATAAAAGAATAAAAGAATAAAATATATATTTTTATTTAAAATAAAAAATAAATTTTATTTTAAATAAAAATACATATATTATTCTTTTATTAATTTATAAAATATATTTTTTACTATTATATATTCAAATTAATAAAAGAATAAAATATTTTTGAAGTTAAAATATATTATTACTGCTTAATCGAAAATATATATATAAAAGATTTAAATATATAGTTTGTTATTAATATATATTCAAAATAATAAAAAAATATTTTTTTAAGTTAAAATATTTTATTACTTTAAAAAATATATATTTTTAAGTATATTATTTGAACACAATAAATACAATAATATTTGTGTTTGTAAAACATAATCAACCCAATACCGTTGGCTCAAAGGTCGCTTGTTGGCCAAGTTTCTTCAATTTGTTTTCTTACAAATAGATGTCGGAAGAAAATAAATTTTGACATATGTTTATGTTATAAATAAGTTATAAATAAATCTAATCATCCAATTATAGATTGACATATGTCACAATTTAATTAGATGATTAAATTTGTTGTATTTAATTAAAATTAGGATTAAATTATCATTTTGTATAAGTAATAGGGACCAAATATAGAATTATCTCCGTTAAATTTTACCGGAAGGTGGTTTGATTGAACCAATTAAATAGTTGAGTGATCTGTTTGATCAAATTAAAACATTAGTGGTCAAAATGAATTTTGACTATAATTGAGTGGTCATCCGTATAGTTTACCCATTAAAAAATTTATTAACTTATACTATTTTATAATCCTATCATATTATTAAAAGAATAAAAAATGACAGCTAATAAGTTTTATAACTTTAAAATTAATTATAAATTTATGTACATTTTCTTTAATTTTTTTATTAAAAAAATTACTTAAAAATGTTAAAAAACTATCAAAAGTGAAATTTTATTTATAACTGAGACTATTTTATTAATTTATTATGTCACTTCACTCTTAATGATAATTAAAGTTATTGTATTTATTTTATAAAAAATAAAATTTAATATCTATTATACAAATTTTGAAAATTTAACATTTAAAAAGATTATTTCAATATAGTTTAGTGAATATTTAAAAATTTTATCCTACAAAATTAGTGGACTAGTTATCAACCGATTCTTTAATTTTTTAATATTTATTTAATAAGAATAATAAATCAAAAATTTTATTTACAAGATAGCATGGGTTTAATTTTTTTTATATATATATTTTACAAATATAACTGTTTGATTTTGAAATCTTTAATAAAAATACTTCATTTAATTATTTTAGTAATGACCTTTGAGGTAAGTTTGATGAGGTTTATTTTTTGAATAGGGATTTTGAAATAATGGAGTCGTTACCAATCATTTTTAAGGTGGAGTTAGAATGCTTAAAATCGGATAATTTTAATAATACGTTTTATTTTTTTACTAAAAATACAAATGTTTTTATCTATGAAATAATAAATCAAGTTTGAAAGGTTAGTTATGTGTAATGAAAGATTAGTATCTCACTACGTCAAAAATATTATTTTATGTTTTAAAATTTGAAATTTTGAGTTTGAAGTTTTATTTAATTTAAAACTTGCGCAAATTTAGAACACCTAAAATCAGCCCCGACTTTTCGTCTTCCAACTCTAATGACGGAGAATCAACCATTTTTGCAACCCCGACGCCCAGACAACCATAAAAGACCCCTAACTCGTCTAAACCAAACCCCAAAATGCTCGACGAAACCCTTAATTGCCTTAACGACCTTTCAACTTTTCGACTCTCTCTCTCCAAGGGCCCCTCTACTCCAATGGGAAGCTAGACCCCGTAAGGTAAGTGACTAACCTTCCTTTATCTACCCTTTTTTAGCTTTGAAAACATGCATGCAACAAGTTACTGAAAAATGGAAGGATACCTTTAAAATATGCTTTAGTATTTTTCTTTCCTTTGATTCGAATGCCAACCCTTTATACAGAAGTTTTTCTTTTTTGGTGGTGGGGGGTCGTTTAAACCCATTACAAGGGTTGATTTGTAAAAAAAAAACGAAAAAGAAAATATTATAGTTTTTTAAGGGTTAAATACACGATGCGTGTAGTTAGCCTTTTCTTATTACTGTCCATGGTTGCTGAGGAGAAGGTGGGAATTGCTCGATTAAGTGTGCGAGCTGCTCGAATTCGATTTAGTCAAAATTCGGTCGTTTGACTGGACTCGAATTTAAACTCAAAACAGTCAAACCGAGCCACTCGATTTGTTCATGTGGAGGTTGTAGTGGCAACACTGGAAAGGTGTAGGGTCTGTTGGGACCACTAGGGTTGGTTGCTTGCTTGGAAGAAACCACCAGCGTGAATTTTGGGACCTCTAGTGACCTATCTTCGGTGCGTGAGGGAGAAGCAAAACGTTTCTCATGTTTGGAGAGCCTAATCGTCGCGTGTGCATCTCACGTGGAGGGGATCGAATGGCCCTGGATGCCATCTAGACTGTCTGATCTTAAAGTCAAGATCAATAGTTGATAGTATTTAACTGTTATATATATTACACATAGCAGTATATGACTAGACAAGATATATTACACATAGCAGTATTTAACTGTTTTTTATACTAGATTATATGTATTATGTAATTTTAATGTAAAAATTAAAATAATTTTATTAATAATGAATAAACATTATTAACTGTTGTTAAAAAATAAAAATTAATGAATAATAATTCATTTGATCCTTAATTGTAATTAAAAGTTTATTTTAATATTTTTTATATTTTAAATAATTAATTTTAAAAGAAAATAATTTTTTCAAAATATATGAAATTTATAATTTTTAAAATTATAAAAAATTTATTATTATAAAAAATAAACTTGTGACACTAAAATACTAATAAACTCAACCACTACACATTGCCCACTTCATTAAAATCTCAGCCAGTTCACCTAAAATCGTGCGGTGTGGGGTGTATGCACAATTCAAAATGCTGATATTTTTACACAAATGTCACCATAATAGAAATTAATGACGTACTTGGTATCCGTTTAAAAATATTTACAAAACTAACATCCGAATTTTTTACACATTTGGTAAGATGCGTCCAGGGGAGCATGCCTTCAACCACGTGGCATAAAACGTGATAGTGGGGCGCCTTATTGCATATGGTGTTAGATTGAGAAATATAATCTGAATGGTGTCGGACATAAAATATATAAGGTTAGGGTACTATTTCGGGAGAAACGCCACTAATCTGAATGAGCCACTAAAGATGGGAGCCAGCCATCGGTTGCGACGACCCAGGTCAATTCAAACCTCCTTTTCATATTATCTCTCAAGTCTTCCACTCAACTTTACCGTGGAAAACACCCACTCCCTTCTATACTACCTATTATCTCTTATAAACTCGAATATAAAAAAGATTTAAAAAAAAATTGTGGACAGAGTCATTCATCAAAGTTAGTTTATGGTTCTGATTGATTCAAGTTAGTAAAACGAAGACTTACAACGGAAGATGACAAAAAAATATTTATGTTAGAGATAAAATTTATATTATTAATACATAATATAGAATTATAAAATTTTAAGAAATAAAGTTGAATAATTAATAAAAATATAAAAGAGTTATTAAACTACAGAGTACATAAAATTCTCAACATGGTTGTTGAAGTCAATTGTGAGAAAAGTGAAGGCTATTTCCTTGAAATTTGAAACCCTTCACATCGTGGCAAAATCATTACGGATTAAAGTGTTTTTTGGCAAAGGATTTGTGTTGAACATAATGTGAATCACACAACAACCCATTTTATCCCACTTCATTCGTTGTCTATAAATACAACTCCCTTGTTTCCTCGCTTCCACAATCTACTACCTTATTACATCATTCGCCTATATCTCCACATCAAATGGAAACTCCATCCTGGGCTTCTTACATAACACCATGGCTGGTCACTCTAGCGCTCATCCTCTTCTCCCTCCGTCTCCGCCGCCGTCAAAAGCTTAACTTGCCGCCCGGCCCGAAGCCCTGGCCAATAATCGGCAACCTTAACCTCATCGGTTCACTTCCCCACCGGTCCATCCATGCCCTCTCCCAAAAGTACGGTCCCCTTGTGCATCTTAAATTCGGGTCATTCCCCGTTGTCGTGGCCTCATCCGTCGAAATGGCCAAAGCCTTCCTTAAAACCAATGATGTTACGTTTGCCGATCGGCCCAAGATCGCGGCGGGTGAATACACTACTTACAACTACTCCGACATCACTTGGTCACCATACGGACCGTACTGGCGTCAAGCACGAAAAATATGCATGATGGAACTTTTTAGTGCGAAACGCCTGGAATCGTACGAGTACATCCGGAGAGAGGAAATGGAATTGTTGCTGAAAGCGTTGTACGAATCATCGGGTAAGACGATTGTTTTGAAGGACAACCTTTCGGATTTGAGCCTTAACGTGATAAGCAGGATGGTGTTGGGGAAAAAGTACACAGACGGGACCGGCGAAAACGAGATCGTGACCCCGAAGGAGTTCAAGGAGATGCTCGACGAGTTGTTCCTGCTGAACGGGGTGCTGGACATCGGGGACTCAATTCCCTGGCTAAGATCCCTTGATTTGCAGGGCAATATCAAGAGAATGAAGGCTTTGAGCAAGAAGTTCGACAGGTTCTTGGAACATGTTTTGGATGAACATATTGCTCAGAGAAGAGAGAGTGAAGATTATGTTGCCGGGGACATGGTGGATGTGCTTTTGCAGCTTGCTGATGATCCCAATCTTGATGTCAAGCTTGAGAGACATGGAGTCAAGGCATTTAGTCAGGTAAATTATTCGTTAACTGTTTCTCTTAGAGTGGTTATTACAAAGATAATATCTCCTTTATTTTGTCTTTTTAGGAAATAATAAACATTTATCATTAATTTTTTTTAATAATTTAAGATAATTATAAAACAATATTTAATCTAGATTTTCCTTAGTCACCCATAACACACATTATAAAATGTAGTTACTGAAATTTAAGATTACAAAGAATACTTCTCTAATCACTAAGTCTGCTCCTCATTTTTAATTTTTTTATTAATACGGTGTAGATATAAAATATTCAAAGATAACTCTGATTATTTAGGGGTTGAATTTTCCCTTGACCCTATCAATTATTTTTTAAGTATTAATTAATATTAAAAAATTATATGTTTTTGAAAAAAATTATCCGCCCCTCAATTAAAAATAATTGTATTTATAAAAAACAAAGAAATTTAACCTCACTATAATAAATTTTTAGTTCCGCTCTTATAATAATTTTACATTAAATGTTCACGCTTCTAATCTTTCATACTCGAATTTAAATTTAAAAAAAATAATTATTTTATTAGTTAGATCGCGTAGTTCGTGTCATTGTTAAATTTCTGAGTTATAAGAAGTGCCACTGTTTGTTTATTGTTGTTATTACATGTGGTACCAGTCAACCGTAGGAGAGCAAACAGTGATGTGATTTGATTGTATCAAATTGAATTATTATTAATTGAATTAATTGAATTTTTAATTATTAATTTAATTGATTTTTTTAAAATAGTAATCATATCGAACAAAGTTTAGTTATTTTTATCGGTTAACCTAATTAACTGATTTTTTTATAATTTTTTTATAGGTAGATTAATTTAAATATAATATATGTATATTTTTAATTTGAGTTACAAATTAATTAGGTATTGATAATTTAACGAATCTAGTGTGATTAAAAAATAATAGGGTATTATTTTTTAATGAGTTTGAGCTTAAAATAAGTTTATATATAATACTTAATAATTTTGGTTAATTCGGTTAATTTAATTAATTAACCGATTTTGAATCTAATTAATCGTTAATTGAATATTAAAAAAACATTAACTGTTTCCCGTCTTAGCTAATTTGGTGACCGAACAAATTAATAGAATTAATTCGATTCGATCGGTTAATTTAGTTAAAATCGAATAGTACACCGTATTCTTTGTGACTAATTATTATTATTTTTTAAAAATTATATGTAAATACGTTTTATTTTGTTTTTATCACCCTTTATTAAAGAATTAATAATGATTATGACGTGTAAGTATGAAAAATAAATTAAAAAATGTTATGTCAACATCAATTTATTTTTTTATAATGTCTAATCAAAATAGAACCAAAACATAAGTTTATGTATGATTTAGAAAAAATAATAATTATGTGACCAAAACATAAACTAAGTAATAGATGAGTGGCTAAATAGGTAATTTATCTAATTTATCCTATTATCTTTATGCAATTATACAAAGCATAATGTAAAAAAAAATTAACTTTTGACTAAATAATCATTTTTACTCATATTCTTTATTTAAGCATTTTAGATCAAATATTTTATTTTAGAGTAAAAAGTCTTATAATATTTGACTAGACAATTATTTTAGAGTGTTAAACGTTTGTTGACTAACGATTTTTATCTACATAAAGATATTTTTGCCATGACATGAAATGATATATTCGAAATATTCTAAAATAAAATAATAAAATTAAAATAATTATTTAATCAAATGTCATTTTTTTTTCATTATGCTTTAGACAAATGACTTTAAGTTCTATTTAGGTAGAACGTCAGCTAATGTTTGATGATGTTTCAGGACCTAATAGCAGGAGGAACCGAGAGTTCAGCAGTGACAGTGGAATGGGCAATTTCGGAGCTACTGAAGAAACCAGAAATGTTTTCCAAGGCTACGGAAGAACTAGATAGGGTAATCGGCAGGGAAAGATGGGTCGAAGAAAAGGACATCGTCAACCTACCCTACATCGAATCAATTGCCAAAGAGACTATGCGTTTGCACCCTGTGGCACCCATGCTAGTGCCTCGAATGACCCGTGAAGACTGTCAAATAGCAGGTTACGACATCCGCAAGGGCACTAGAGCTCTTGTGAACGTGTGGACCATCGGGAGAGACCCTACAGTTTGGGACAATCCCAATGAGTTTTGCCCCGACAGATTCCTTGGGAAGGCCATTGACGTGAAGGGTCATGATTTCGAGCTGCTGCCATTTGGGGCAGGAAGAAGGATGTGCCCTGGATATCCCCTGGGGATTAAAGTCATTCAAGCCAGTCTGGCTAATCTTTTGCATGGATTTACTTGGGAATTGCCTAGTAACATGACGAAAGAACATCTTAATATGGAGGAAATCTTTGGTCTCTCTACCCCGAAAAAGTACCCACTCGAGACTGTGGCAGTGCCTAGGCTCCCACTTCATCTGTATGCCCGCTCAGGAACCAAAATATAATCTCGTACTGGAAGATCGAATTTATATAAAATTTTAGGAATAAAAATAAATTATTTATCTAAAATATAGAAAAAGGTAATGGTAATTGGTGGTTTGTAGTTGCTTCTCTTTTGATAATATCTTGTCAAATCCATCAATTATTTTATACTTTTATGTAATGGGCTGGCAATTATTGATGTATGTTTCTTGTGGTTTCCCACCCCAATTCCAGTTTTATTTTTTGTTTATTTATTTATGGGTTAAATATACCTTTACCCTTGAACTATATCTTTTATATCGAATTATCCTCTAAAATATTTTTAAGATGTTTTGTCTCCTTAATTTTAAATTATTATCATGTTTGTTTCAATTATTAACACCTTTAAACAAAATCTCACTTACCTATTAGAACACATTATGTCACTCTTTAATATTTATATTTTTACTGAATAAGAAATCTATTAAATAAAATAAAACTTATAGTATCCTGCTGAACGGGGTGCTGGACATCGGGGACTCGATCCCCTAGGATCCCTTGATTTGCAGGGCAATATCAAGAGAATGAAGGCGTTGAGCAAGAAGTTCGACAGGTTCTTGGAACATGTTTTGGATGAACATATTGCTTGGAGAAGAGAGAGTGAAGATTATGTTGCCAGGGACATGGTGGATGTGCTTTTGCAGCTTGCTGATGATCCCAATCTTGATGTCAAGCTTGAGAGACATGGAGTCGAGGCATTTAGTCAGGTAAATTATTCGTTAACTGTTTCTCTTAGAGTGGTTATTATAAAGATAATATCTCCTTTATTTTGTCTTTTTAGGAAATAATAAACTTTTATTATTAATTTTTTAATAATTTAAGATAATTATAAAACAATATTTAATCTAGATTTCCCTTAGTCACCCCTATCACACATTATAAAATGTAGTTATTGAATTTTTTTAATCGTTAATCAAATTAATATTTTTTAAAATATTAATTGGATCGAATAAAGTTCGGTTATTTTTATTGGTTAACTGAATTAACTGAATTTTTATAGGTAGATTAATTTAAATATAATATATGTTTATTTTTTATTTGAGTTACAAATTAATTAGGTATTAATAATTTAACGAATCTAGTATGATTAAAAAAATAATAGGGTATTAATTTTTTTAACTAATATTTAATATAGATTTCCCTTAGTCACCCATAACACACATTATAAATGTAGTTACTGAAATTTAAGATCTAAAAAGAATACTTATTTAATCACTAAATCGCTCTTCATTTTTATTTTTTTTATTAATATGGTGTAGATATAAAATAATATTTGTTAAATGATAACTTTAATTATTTAGGGGTTGAATTTCCTCTTGACCCCATCAATTATTTTTTAAGTATTAAATAATATTAAAAAATATATATTTTTGAAAAAAATTATCCGACCCCTCAATTAAAAATAATTATATTTATAGAAAATAAAAAAATTTAATCTCACTATAATAAATTTCTAGTTCCGCTTTTATAATAATTTTACATTGAATGTTCACACTTTTAATATCTCTCATACTCGAATTTAAAATTTAAAAAAAATAATTATTTTATTATTTAGGTCTCGTAGTTCGTGTCATTGTTAAATCTCTGAGTTATAAGAAGTGCCACTGTTTGTTTATTTGTCGTTATTACATGTGGTACCAGTCGACCGTAGGAGAGAAAACAGTGATTTGATTTGATTGTAGTGTTTCGTTTGTTAGGTTGTTCAAGCGATTAATTTGAGCCCCAATCAAATTGAATTATTATTAATTAAATTAAATTAATTGAATTTAAAAAAATATTAATCGAATCAATCAAAGTTTGGTTATTTTTATTGATTAACCGAATTAATTAATTTTTTATAATTTTTTATCGGTAGATTAATTTAAATATAATATATGTATATTTTTTATTTGAGTTTCATATTAATTAGGTATTGATAATTTAATGAATCTAGTTTTGGTTAATTCGATTAATTAACCGATTTTGAACTGAATAACCGTTAACCAAATATTAAAAAACATTAATTATTTTTCGTCCGAACTAATTTTGTGACCGATCAAATTAACATAACTAATTCGAGTCGATTGGTTAATTCAGTTAAAATCAAACACTAACACCCTATTTTTTGTGACTAATTTTAGCTATAAAAAACATTTTTGTTGCCTTATTATCTTGGGTAAATAAATATCCACTAAACCATCTAATGCCTAGATTTTGTCTTTATTATCTAATTATTTTTTTTAAATTATATGTAAAATATTTTTTAATTTTGTTTTTATCACCCGTTATTAAAGAAATAGTAATGATTATGACGTGTCACCATTAAATAATGTTGTATAAGTATGAAAAATAAATTAAAAAAATGTTATGTCAACATCATCTTTCATTTTTTTATAATGTGTAACCAAAATATAAATTTATGTATGACTTAGAAAAAATAATAATTGTGTGACCAAAACATAAACTAAGTAATAAGTGAGTGGCTAAATAGGTAATATATCTTATTATCTTTATGCAATTATACAAAGCATAATGTAAAAAAATCTTAACGTTTAATTAAATAATCAGTTTTACTCATACTCTTTATTTAAGCATTTTAGATAAAATATTTTATTTTAGAGCAAAAAGTCCTTTAATATTTGATTAGACAGTCATTTTAAAGTATTAAACGTTTGTTGACTAACAATTTTTATCTACATAGAGATATTTTTGCCATGAAATGAAATAATATAGTCGAAATATTCTAAAATAAAATAATAAAATTAAAATAATTATTTAATCAAATGTTATGATTTTTTTTCTTTATGCTTTAGACAAATTACTTTAAGTTCTAATAAGGTAGAAAGTCAGTTAATGTTTGATGATGTTTCAAGACCTAATAGCAGGAGGAACCGAGAGTTCAGCAGTGACAGTGGAATGGGCAATTTTAGAGCTACTGAAGAAACCAGAAATGTTTTCCAAGGCTACGGAAGAACTAGATAGGGTAATCGGCAGGGAAAGATGGGTCGAAGAAAAGGACATCGTCAACCTACCCTACATCGAATCAATTGCCAAAGAGACTATGCGTTTGCACCCTGTGGCACCCATGCTAGTGCCTCGAATGACCCGTGAAGACTGTCAAATAGCAGGTTACGACATCCGCAAGGGCACTAGAGCTCTTGTGAACGTGTGGACCATCGGGAGAGACCCTACAGTTTGGGACAATCCAAATGAGTTTTGCCCCGACAGATTCCTTGGGAAGGCCATTGACGTGAAGGGTCATGATTTCGAGCTGCTGCTATTTGGGGCAGGAAGAAGGATGTGCCCTGGATATCCCCTGGGGATTAAAGTCATTCAAGCCAGTCTGGCTAATCTTTTGCATGGATTTACTTGAATTGCCTATTAAAAAGACGAAAGAACATCTTAATATGGAGGAAATCTTTGGTCTCTCTACCCCGAAAAAGTACCCACTCGAGACTGTGGCAGTGCCTAGGCTCCCACTTCATCTGTACGTCCACTCATGAACCAACATATAATCTCGGATTTATGGACGACATCTATTGTGCAACACAAGACGGTGTTCCATGGTGTATGCTTTTCGCTGACGACATTGTCCTAGTTGCTGAAACAAAAACTGAGTTTAATAGTAGACTGGCTACCTGGAAGACTGCTTTGGAAGAAAAAGGTCTACGGATCAATATTGAAAAGACGGAGTATTTATGTTCAAACTTTAGTGGAACCAAAACGATGAAGATATAGAAGTATGCATAGAAGGACACGTTCTCCCCTCAAAGGATTGTTTCAAGTACATAGGGTCTATGATACATAAAGATGGGTGTAGATGATGACGTTACACACCGTATAAAGGCGGGATGACTAAAGTGGAGGGCTGCTACTTGAGTTTTGTGTGACAAGAAGATGCCTCTAAAAAATGACACCAAACTCTGCAATTAGGATGTCCTTGGGGGTGGTGCCTGTATCCGAAAAATTGAGGGAGGGAAGACTACGGTGGTTTGGGCATGTCCTTAGGCGACAATCGTCGGATGCGGTCAGGAGGGTAGAGTCGATTTCAGCTGACGATGCCAGAAGGAGAGGACGACCAAGGAGGAAGTGGGTAGACTGCTTGAGATCTGATTTGAAGGATTTAGCCTTTACCGAGGACATAACCTCTGATAGGAAAGTATGGAGACTTAAGACCAGGGTAGCCGAGTAGTGTGGGTCACAGCCATAGGGTGTAGCATCTCTGTTTTCTTTTTAATGCATTTGTAGTAATTTCCATGACTTCTACTTTTTATACGTTTCTGTCATTGGAATTTATGAAGGCTTAGAACTAGGGTAGCGGAGTAGTGTTGCCTTAGTTTATGTTTTAACCCATTTCACTATATTTCTTCTCGTAGCTTGCTATCGCTGACTTCTGTGTATCATTCTCTTCATGTTTCCTCCTTTTAAATTTAGTCGGATCTTACGTTTCTGTCTATATGCAGAGATTTTTATGCAGGGATTTATTTGCAGGGGTTACTTCCCATACAGACGTGCATATGAAGACTGTTCAACTATGTATTTATTTATACATGTATTGTATTTTATCTTTATTTTTAATTTTCTGACTTCCAGAGGTCTTCCACGGAAGCTGCTCTCAACCTGGCGTTGGGGGCAGCCTACTACCCTACCTCCCCCTTACCCCATTGCATATGAGAATAAGTTTTGTTGTTGTTGTTGTTGTAATTGGTGGTTTATTGGTGCTTTTCTTTTAATAACATCTTGTCAAATCAATCAACTATTTTCTACTTTTATGTAATGGGCAGGCAATTATTGATGTATGTTTCTTGTGGTTTCCCACCCCAATTCCATTTTTCTATTTTGTTTATTTTTATGGGTTAAATATACCTTTACCCCTTGAACTATATCTTTTATACCGAATTATCCCCTAAAATATTTTTAAGATGTTTTGTCTCCTTAATTTTAAATTGTTATCTCGATTGTTTCAAATTATTAACACCTTTAAAGAAAATCTCACTTACCTATTAGAACACATTATGTCACTCTTTAATATTTATATTTTTATCTGAATAAGAAATCTATTAAATAAAATAAAACTTATAGTATACCAAAAATATCTTTCCCCCTCCCCTCTCCCACACCTCCACCCCACCTCCACCACAACTCCCCTCCATTTTTGCTTTATCCATTTTTTATTTCATGTTGTTGAGAAACTAAAGACTTTTCAAAACGTCAGAAGAATATATAAGTGTGTATTTACTGAAGTTTACATGTCGTTATATACAACTCCAAGCTAACTGCTAACCATAATGAATAACAAACTAACAACCTTAACAACTAGGTACCAGCTAAGACTAACAGGTTACAACCACCCAAGCACACCATCACAACAACTACACCTTAGTTATACTTAACATTCTCCCCACTTTTTCTTTCTACCCCAAGAAACGATTGCACATTGACCTTTGCATGAAAGAGTTCAAACTATGTTGTTGAAAAGGGCTTGGTCAAGCCATCAGCTACTTGATGACTAGCAGGAACATAGTTAATTAACACATGCTTAGCTGTAACTTTTTCCCTTACAAAATGCACATCAAGCTCTACATGCTTTGTTTTAGCATGATAAACTGGATTTGCAGTTATGGCAACAGTACTGTTATTATCACACCAAATCACAGGAGTATTGGACTGCTGAACTCCCATATCTGCAAGGAGTGCACTCACCCACGTTGTTTCAGCAGTAACATCAGTAACACTCCTATATTCAGCCTCCATGGTGGATCGAGAGACAAACTTTTGCTTTTTCGAACTCCACATAACCAGATTATCACCAACAAAAACACAATTACTTGTGATAGACTTTGGATCATCTGTATTGCCACCCCAATTAACTTCAGCAAAAGCCACAACATGTAGTCCTGCCTCAGCTGAGCTATAACAAGACCATGGTTAAGTGTACCAACCAAATACCGTAAAATTCATTTAACAACCACAAAATACTCATTTCTTGGTGCATGCATGTATTGTGCCACCTTATTAACACTAAATGGTATATTTGGACGTGTATGTCAGGCACATAAAAGTGCCCCTATAATACCACGATATTCATACGTGTTAGAGAACAGATCACCATCATCCTGTGTAAGTTTCGATGTCACCAGCATAGGAGTGGATACATCCCCAGCATTGTGCATCTTGGTCTTCATTAACAAGTCTAGGATGAATTTGAGTTGACGTTGACTAAGAATCAATGCCAAGGAAGAAGCTAAACTCACCAAGATCCTTTAGAGCAAACTCATCGCCCAACTGTTTCACAACTTCTTCAATATGAGCATTTGACTCACCTGTTATTATTATATCATCTAAATAAACCAACATATACATATACATCCCTTGAACACATCATATAAATAATGAGGTATCTGCCTTGGACTCTTTAAACCCTATGTGAAATAAGAACTTTTTTAACTTTGCATGCCAACTCCGAGGTACCTGCCTCAAGCCATACAAGGCCTTATGTAGTTTACACATCAACATAGTACCATTAGGAGCCCTTTGTTCAAATCCAGGTGGCTGCTGCATGAATACATCTTCACGCAAATCTCTATGTAAAAATGCATTATTCATATCAACCTGACACAACTATCAGCCCCTTGATACATCTATGGACAAAATCAAATTAAGTGTAGCAAACTTAACTATAGGACTAAAAGTTTCATTGAAGTCATGACCTGGAACCTCAGAGTACATTCTTTCTACAAACTGGGCCTTGTATCGAATGATGGACCCATCTGGGTTCTTTTTCAACTTAAACAACCACTTGCAGCCCACCACTAACCTTCTTTCAGGCAATAAAACAAGTGACCACATACAGTTTGACCTCAAGGCATAAAGTTCTATATATAAAACATTCTTCCAATGTGGAGACTGAAGAGCCTAATGCACATTAACATGTTTCATTGTGTCATACGCAACAAAATACACATTGGGCTTGAAAACACCACATTTACTCCTCGTAAGCATTGGATGATGATTAACCGTAGCCTCAACAACACTTCTTGCATTTGAATCTATACACTCAAGGGTATTCAACTCTTCATTACAATGCTCAACATCACCACCATCAGCTGCATCATTCTGATTAACCTCAAATTTTAAGCTTGAGGACTCACCCTCAGCTACTCAGTCACACCTTCATGAACTAAGTCCTACATCAAACCAGTGGTAACTGGCTCAACACCCACATCAATAGTACAAATTTGCAGCTTGCTAACATCTGCAACAAGCTCAAGAGACCTTGATTTTGAAAGAGTAACACTAGATGCCACATAAGGAGAAGTAGAACTTGTGAATGGAAAAAGTAACACTTGATTTTGAAAGAGTAACACCCTCATGAACTCATATTCAGGTTTATTTCCCAACAGCTTCTCAAGAAGAGACATCCCATCTAATACCTTTGTTGGCAGATGATTGATAATGTGTATAGTAATAACTGCTGCATAATACCAGAATCGCAGAGGCATTGTAGCTTGAGCCAAGAGTAATAAGGCCAACTCAACAATGTGCACGTGTTTCCTCTCAACTACACCATTCTGCTCGAAAGTATGTGGGTAGGCTACTTGGTGAATGATACCATCCTTAGCTAAAACAGAAAAGAGACTTCTATATTCATCACCCCAATCACTCTGAACAACTTTGACAGCCACACCAAACTGAGTTAAAACCATTTACTGACACAGTTTAAAGATAATCATAACCAGAGACCTATCTGTTAAGAAGCACACCCAAGAATGCCTAGTATATGCATCAACAAATGATAAATAGTAGCGATAACCATTAGACACCACATGAGTCAGGCCCCAAATATAAGTGAAAACAAGCTGAAAAGGTACAATATACATGGTAGTATAATAAAAAAAAGGCAATTTATGGCTTTTACCAGTGCAACAAGCTTCACACATATTATTCATATCCTTAGAAAGTATTACATTAAGTGTTTTACAAATATGAACAACAATACTATATGTGGCATGACCTAATCTGCTATGCCAAAGTTTGATACTATTTGCAGCAATAACCGAATGTGCAGAAGCATTTCTACAAGTACTTGGAACTCGATCTCCTGAGAAGACATATAAACCACCTTCAATACGACCACACAGTAGGACGTTCTTAGTAGTAGCATCACGAACACAATACCCATGAGCATGAAACTCAAAGTACACATCATTATCTGTAACACCCGTATTCGAGTCCGAGGTGTCACATTGACTTTTCAAAACATCTATATTGAAGAGATATTTAAAATTTAAATATATATATGAATAAATATGATAAAATATTTAAACAAAAATAGATAAACATTATTCAACTTAATTTAAAAGTAAAACTCAA